ATAAACACCTGCATATAGAACGACTGTGGCAAAAGAAAGCAAAGACAGTATGAGTAGTAATAAGTGCCTTGGGTGCAATCCCAAAAACATGTGGAGCACCATTTGAACACCATCAGCATTGACAAAATCAGTTGCAAAAGGCAGTTTACATCCTGCGAAAATACCTTTAATACCATCAAACAACATCTGCCTATTCCAGGTCCTTGATAGGGGAATAAAAAAGCCAAATCCAGTCTAAACATCTGACTAATTGTGCAACCAACCATAATCATAATACAGCCAGTTTGGTGTGGTGGAATCAGGCTTGAAACTGGGAGACTGTGAGTCCTAGTCCCATCTTAGGCACAGAGACAACAGGGTGACCTTGGCCCAGTCCCCCTCTTTCAGACAATTACCAAGAGTCAACACTGACTCCAAGGTACTAAATAAATAAGCAAACTGACTCAGAATAACAGAGTTTGAAGGGACCTTGGAGGCCTTCTAGTATAACTCCTTGCTCAAGCAGGAGATCCTGACAATGATTGTCCAATCTCTTTTTAAAAACCTCCAGTGACAAAGCACCCCCAACTTCTGAAGGTAAGCCGTTTGAAAGTTTAATTGTTCTAATTGTGAGGAGATTTCTTCTTATATCTTATCTAGGTTGGTTCTCCTGGATTAATTTCCATTTGTTGCTTCTTGTTCTTCCTTCATGTACTTTGGAGAATAAATTGACCTCCTCTTCTTTGTGACAGCCCCTTAGATATTGGAACATCACTTGTAGTCCTTTTCATTAAACTTGTTGTTGTTGTTAATTGCGAAGTCGTGTCCGACCCATTGCGACCCCATGGACAACATTCCTCCAGGTCTTCCTGTCCTCTGCCATCTTCTGGAGTCCATTTACGTTCACACCTACTGCTTCAGTGACTCCATCCAGCCATCTCATTCTCTGTCGTCCCCTTCTTCTATTGCCCTCAATCTTTCCCAGCATTAGGCCCTTCTCCAGTGAGTCCTTCCTTCTCATTAGGTGGCCAAAGTATTTGAGTTTCAACTTCAGGATCTGGCCTTCTAAAGAGCAGTCGGTGTTGATCTCTTCTAGGACTGACCAGTTTGAACGCCTTGCAGTCCAAGGGACTCGCAGGAGTCTTCTCCATACCCAGTTCTTGCAACCATTCTTCCTATGTTTTAGCCTCTAATTCCCTAATCATCTTTGTTGCTGTTATTTGCTCTCTCTTTTTAGACTCTCAACATCTTTTTTATATTGTGGTGACCAAAACAGGATGCAGTATTCCAAGTATGATCTTACCGAGACAGACATGTCAAACTCGCGATGTCACGAGCCGTTGCAGGCAAGCAGACAGTGGGAGGGAGCGGATGAGTGGCTGCAAAGTCAGACATCCCCTTAATGGGTCTTTTGGTCCCCAAAAAATATAAAGTAATAAATAATGAAAACACAGTATCACTTTAAGGACTGAGAGAGATATTATGCTAGGCATGTAGAGTGGGAGAATTTGCAATAGAGAATTCTCCATATCCATGAAAGCTCTTCACATGCAGAAATATTGAGGTTCTCAATCTGTGGAGAATCTCAAATCCATAGAGGCTCTTTATTGCAGATGCTTGCCCTCCATTCATCTCAGAAAAAGGGATTAGCATATCCTCTGACACAGTTTAAAGTCCAAAAGGAAGTTATCAAGGAAGAAGAATTTGAAAATCCAATAGACTCACTGAGGATTTCTCTGTAAAAGGATAAGTAATGATTCCCTAAAAACAGATTATCCAGAATTATCTATCACATCTAAATGTGCAGCTTCAAAAGCAGATTTTTTTCTCACATAATGGTAGTATTATGGAATCATCCAACAGTGAGATTCAATTTAACATAGGTTAACTTAGCTTGAGCCAAGGACAAATTTGTATAACCCTAAAATGCTTCTAAGATTTTTTTCGGATGTGCATATTTTTATCAACATTTTTTTCCTGAAAGTAAAAACTTGAAAATTGTTGTTGCAGTCTCAGATAATCCTGTATACCAGTGATGGCGAACCTTTTAGAGACCGAGTAGCCAAACTGCAACCCAAAACCCACTTATGCATCGTCAGGTGCCACGTGGCTATGGCCCAGTGGGTGGGCATGGCTGCGGTAGTAACGGCAGACTGGGTGGGACTAAAAAGTTCAATCAATCAATTCCAACTTTGTAAGATCTTTTTTTTTCCCGTGAGAAGTTGAAATTGACTGATTGATTGAACCTTTTTTTTTTTTTTTTTGTACATGGCAGCGGAGGCCTAAAGCAAAAAGGTTTTATAAAACCCAGCTGAAGGCTAGGACTCGGGAAATGGCGCGCATGCCCACAGAGAGGGCTCTGAGTGCCGCCTCTGGCACCTGTGCCATAGGTTCGCCACCACTGCTGTATACTGAAACCAACTAAAAACCACCTCAAATAATCCTGTATACGGAAACCAACTGTATACTGAAACCAACTAGAAACCAATGAAAATTTAACATTATCCATGTTGACCAGCAGCAGCTCTTTAATATTTCACAGAGGAGGTCTACTTAGGCATTGGACAAGCCTGGGATTGAACTTGTCCTCTTCTGCCTGTGAATGATATGTTCTACCACTGAGTTATCATCCATTTTGAAAGATAATTTGTCTAGAAATTGAACCAAAGTCTGTGTGGCTCTTGTGTTACATCTTAAACACCAGGCCTTTAAATAATATATAATTTCTTGTTCCAACACAGACACAAAAAAAAACACATGACTTCACTTTAGAGAGTGCTTTGTAGGGAGTTAAATTTGGGGAGGACAAAGATAACATATGTGAAGCTGAAAGCACTTGCCAATCAAAATAAGGGCTCTTATGGGTGTAGTTGTATTATTTAGAATTTAGCTTGCCAGTAAGTTAATAAAGTGGTAGGCAATTTATAGGACTGCTATTACTCATTCGCAGGAAAGGCATACTAAAATTGTACCCCAAAAAATAGATTTTCTTAGGTTTTTCTACAAATTTATTCTCTCCAAATCACTATAGCATGGAATTTGCTTCCACGTGTGTTGATTAAAGTAAAGGATCCTTCTCTGGGTCAAGTTCTGTCTAGAGTTTCAGAGAAGGGGGAGCTTCGGCTATTCACAGCTAGACGCATTGTTAAAGCTCATACTATCACTTTGACATTTAGAGGTAGGACTCAGTGTCTTTGTAAATTCTTCTTCTTCATATTACTGCCATGTCTCTGGGCTCCAACCGTTTCACAAACCATAATATTTTTTAGTGAGTGATTGATCTGTATTATGTGTCTCGGCCATCAGAGGAATCTTGAGATGTTGCTTGTATAAAATGTAATACAATCTGACACTGAGTGTTTGGTTACATGCTTTCATAGACCCATTGGCGATACACAATCCTCCTGGATTTGGGCATAAGGCTTATCTGATACCTTCCCCAAAAGTCCCTCATTTTCTCTGTTCCCCACTTAAATAACTCAACACATCTGGGTTAACACTGTAGGATCATTGTCCTTTCAGTTCTCCTGCAGCTCAGATTGCTACAATATTTCCTTAAGTATCTGATTACTGAGAGGGCAAGACAAAATTTCTCTCTGAAAAGGAGGCTGTTCTTAAATAGACTTAGAAATTAATTCCCATGCATCATTTTAAAAAAAAAGTTTGATTGGTTCCATTTGCAAAGGTGTCTTGCTAAGCATGTTTGTTTAAGAGATCAAAAGCATACTGTGCACGTTTACTCAGAAGCAAACCATATAAGACTAAGTGTGGCTTTCTTTCCTATCTAAAGTATTTAGGATTTTAATCTAAACATAATAGAGTTGGGGGAAGACTTACATATCAAGCTATAACGGTCATCAAGAATGTTAAGAGGTTTATAAAAGTTACTTTTGGGCCTTCATTTTCCATACTGACTTCAGTTACAAGAATGATAAAAACCTGAAACTGAATACTCTTAATTCAATAATAAATGGACACCATTTTAGGGAAGAGGGAGGGAGAATTTGATACAGACCCATATACCTAGGAAATTAATCATGGAAGAATAAACCTATAGCAGGCAGGATAGCCGTAAGGTAGATATATATTAAATATATTGCTCTAAATCCTCCAATACAATTCTAGCAAAGGGGGTTCAAAATCAGAGCTCTGATTTCTTATAGTAATTCCAGTGAGACCATAATCTAGCTGAAACTATGTTTAGTTTTTTTTATTTTGGATTCTATTCAGTTTTTAATGGGAACATCTGAGAACCTTAAAGATAATAGTTTGCTAAATAACAATTCCATGTTGGAAAAAAAAGAAATTATGCACAAGTCACTGTTGTTTCTGGGATAGGCTGCTATATGCAAGATTAGTGTGTCCAGTATATGAAATGAGTTATAAAGATTAACTGTTTTGGGTTTAAAAACAAATGCATTAGGTATAACAGGCTGAATTTTTAATAGTTCTCAGAAGGTTGTTACGATCTCTATATGCCTGGTAGCTTATTTAATTTATATTTTAATATAGTGGTTTTCCAGCTTTGTAGTACCATAACCCTCTAATGTGAAAGATGTATTTGTACGAAACTCCCCCATGAATAAAACTAATACTTTATTGGTGTTAGGTTTGGGCAAGAAATAAGTATACTGTTTTTAATAATTAAATTTTAATCTATATATCATACAGCCTTGTAATATAGCAGCTGCCCACTTGGGCTTGTTCGAGCAAAATAAGGACCTACCATAGGGTGAATTTTGACAGTATTCCCATTTCCCTGCACAAAGCCTGATTTAGGTTTTTTTAATCTTTAATTGCTCATAATCCCCTGGGGGGGGGGAAGTTTCAACCTATAATTTGAGAGCTCCTCGCTTTAATAACTTTGCTTTTTTTAAAATTAACTTGAAATGTAGTTTAAAAAATATAAGGTGCCTTCAGGATACAGATGCTTTTTTAGTTAAGCTTCCCTGTGTTCTTAGTTTAGCATCCTTTAGTAACTATGTAATTATCTTGCTTGAAACTTGTTCTTTTTTTTTCAGGTGGTAGAGATTATGTCAAGTGCCATTGGTGAATTAGTACAAGGAATATATTATGAAAAGTCAAGCTCAGGAAAGGTAAATTGATAGTTCACAAATGTACTTGTGTTTAAATCACTTTCTCCCTCTTATGTTAAAAAAATAAATCTTGGGTTAATCTGTATGAAGACTTCCCTTCATGTTGTTGTTGTTGTTGTTGTTATTATTATTAGTGCATACCTTCATCAATCAGATACTCGAATATATAAAATATCTCTTTTTCTTGATATGTTTTGTGTTTGTAAATATAGGCAATTAGTATAGGCAAATATAGTAACATTTTTGTTACTAAAGACATTAAGCGAGTCACAGCCCATTTTACGACCTTTGTGACCTGGTTGTTAAGCAAATCACTATAGTTCTTAAGTGAATCTGGCTTCCTCCATTGACTTTGCTTGTCAGAAATTCGCAAATGGTAACCACATAATCACCTCAGGAGAGTGCAACTGTCATAAATACATGCCAGTTGCCAAACATCTGAATTTGATCAATGACCATGAGGATGCTGCAACAGTCATCATTGTGAAAACTAGTCATAAGTCACTTTTTTCAGTGCTGTTGTAACTTTGAATGGTCACTAAACAAATGGTTATAAGTTGAGGACTACCTGCATAAGGCTGTCTTGTTAGAAGGCCCTTGAGAAGGTTGCAAATGGCAATTCATGTTACTTAACGACCATTCGGGTTAAGTTGGATTTTAAAAAAGCTACTTACGACCCATCCTCAAAGTTACAACTTCCAGACACACATCTGGGCACATTCGTGTGATTGCCATTTCAGGCAGCTTGGCAACTTGCTCACCTTAAAGACTGTTTGCAGCATTTTGCGATCATGTGACTAAGATTTGCAATATTTTTTCACATTTTCCCACAGAAAATGGCAAAAAACCATCCATTGAAAATGCTGGATTAGCTCAAGGACTGTGAAAGCCAGTATGACATCAAGTCTATCATGTAGTGACTTGCTTAACCATCACAACAACAAACAACCAAAATTCCAGCCTTGGGTGTAGCTGTAGGTGGAGGATTGCCTGTATACATTTTTTTGGAAGTTCTGTATAGTAGTATACTTTTATCCTTGTAGTACTTGTCAAAGCCCTTTCAGACAAAGCTAGATTTCTTGATGTGTTATAGTAATTGTCTAAAAAAAAAATGGAGAAAAGATTGCATGGCAAAAGGCAAAATAGAATGAAGGTCAGCTTGAAGCTCAAATTTATGTCTAAATAATAGTGTAATCAAAGAAAGTTGTGCTCTCTTATTATCTGTCTTCATTTCATTTTTCTTTCTCTTTTCACATTTAATTTTCTCTTTTAAGGCATATTTCGTGGTATAAGGATGGAGCCCTCTTTTTTTCTCATTTAAATACAGTTTACTGTGGAATTTGAATAAAATATAATACATTTTATAAGTCCATTTATTCTAACCCTTTTTATCACAAACATCAAAGGCATATATTAATAGACCAATAAAATATGTCCTGTCATGTCCAACAAGCAGTAAGACATCTGCTAAGTGAGACATCAATCACATGCAAGATGTTTGCAGGGTTACTGTGTTGCTGCTGAAGACTCACAATTTTATTGGCTTTTTTCCTACACAGATGGGAAAATAAAGATTGTTGAATCATCTCACTTATAGCTGAAGCACTGAATGATCCAAATTGCAGTGTGTTTTTTTTTCAGCCTGTGCATTGTTCTGACTTAGATTTAACTGAAGTTTGTAATGCCATATTGTCTGTGTGACAGGGTGTGACGAACAGCAGTGTCACAAATTAGGATGTACTTCAAATCATGTAGAATCGTTTTTTTAGAAACTTTAGTTTATTGCAGTTCGTGCATTTCATTTTGAAATATTTTTATAATTATTTTCTATTCTTTTCTCTATAGCCTGATGGCTTGGAGAAGTCACTCGAGTTCCATTGGCTGCATTTCATTGGGATAAATGAAGTGAACTAAGATAGGGTAAAGAAGGCACATGTTGTGATACGGGTAGTCCTTGCTTACCGACCACTTGTTTAGCAACCATTCAAAGTTACGACAGTATTGGAAAGGAGATTTGCAACTGGTTCTTGCAGTTGCAGCTACAAAGTTATGTGATTGCAATTCAGGCCCTTGGCAATCTGCACATTTATGAAGTCACCTGTTGTGTTCACATGACATCATACTTAATGATCCACAGTAATTTGCTTAACAACGGCAACTGGAACTGATGTTGTAAGTCAGCATGGTCACATGGCATTTCATTTAATGACTGCATCACTTAGCAATGGGAATTGCTGGTCCTTATTGTTAGTAAGTGAGGACTACCTATACCTCTATGTTTAAAGTTATTTGAAACTAAACTTGATTAAGTATGGGTAGTCCTCAATTTACAACAGTTCATTTAGTGACCATTCAAAGTTAGAACAGCACTGAAAAAAGTGACTTATGGCTGTTTTTCCTACTTACAGTTATTGCAGCATCCCCGTGGATATGTGATCAAAATTCAAACACTGACTCATATTTATGACAGTTTCAATGTCCCATAGTCTTGCAATCACCCATTTGTGACCTTCTAACAAGCAGAATCAATGGGGAGGCCAGATTCATCTGATAAATGTATGACTACTTAACTGCAGTGATTCACTTAGCAACTGTGGCAAGAAAGGTCATAAAATGGAACAAAACTCACAACTACTGTACCACTTCGCAACAGAAATTTTGGGCTTGATTGGGGTCATAAGTTGAAGACTACCTGTACTCTGGACTTCACCCAGGGTCTCTTTGTGCTTTTCCCCTCTACCTCCTAGTGTCCTAAGTCTGCCTGGAAGATCCCACTGACTTCCTGAAAGATATTTGGGGAGAGGGCATGCGTATTGCATATTCTTACACACAGCCAAAAATATTTTTGCAAGTAATATGAAGTAAACTGAGTTTACTGTATTACACTATACTGTAATAGCGCTGGCAGAAAAGCTCATTTGATAGAACTAAGGAGAAACTTCCTGACAGTGAGAACAATTAATCAGTGGAACAGCCTGCCTCCAGAAGCAGTAAATGCTCCAACACTGGAAGTTTTTAAGAAGAGACTGGACAGCCACTTGTCTGAAATGGTGTAGGGCAGTGCTTCTCAACGTTTGTGTGACGGCAACCCCCGTCACACAAACGTTCTGCGCATGCGCCGGGCCGCGCGCATGGGGGTGGGGCCCCCACGTGCGGCATGCATGTGCGGCGCCACCCCCATGCGCGATGCGCATGCGTGATGGCCCCATGCGCAGCGTGTGTGCACGGCGCCGCCCCCATGCGCGGCGCGCGTGCACGGCACCGCGAAAAATGGCGGATCGCCGCCTTTGGCGACCCCCGAAAAATGGGCGATCGACCCCAAATGGAGTCGCGACCCATAGGTTGAGAACCGCTGGTGTAGGGTTTCCTGCCCGAGCAGGGGGTTGGACTAGATGACCTCCAAGGTCCCTTCCAACTTTACTACTATTACTAGTCAGACTTGAATGGTGTTTGATAGTCAGGAGAAAGTTTGATTGGAAGGATGTTTCAGGGCTTGAGGATATAGCTTAGATTGAGAATATTTTGTATGAATTATAGGGACAGAAGACAAATTACCACATGACCTACAGAGGAGATAAGATGGGAAATCCTGGATGGAGTCCTAGGAAAAGGAGATGCCATCCTCTTCACAATTAATTGCTTCTTCCTACATTCTCTGTGGTGTTGCTGGGTATCTTTGCTTCAGGCTTCTGTTAGTTAATGCCAGGTTTGTTTGTAATAAGACTGTAATTCTCCCCAACTTATTAATTGAGGAACAAGTGGACCTGCTTGGCCTGCATATGTGAGACCTATCTGGATGAGAATGGGGGCAATGCTTGACCATAGAAAGGACTAGATAGAATTTACAAGAAAAATGAAAGATGGAATCAGAATATCCTATTTCCAAATTCTAAATCTTTCTCCTATTACTTAGTCCAGTTTAGCCCATATGTTTTCTGTATTTAATAATATCAAACAAAACAGTTTCACCCCATTACATGAACTGTCATATTTTTGCTTTCATTTTAAAATGTGGTTGCATTTATATAAACTTCGGCAGAAATGTTATCTTTTTATTTGCATCCTAAATATATTTTTAGAACTATAAATTATACTAAGACTTTACAGTTTACTCCTGAATTATGTGTGTGTCATAGCTTATCATATTATATGGTATTTCTATTAGTACTGTGAAAGTTTCAGCTTCATTTATAAAAGGTCCTTTGGCGTATATGAAGGTACAAAGGAAAGCAGAGTTGGGGGGCCTGTCCTGTATTGCAGAGGTCCCCAACCTATGGGCTGTGACCCACTACCGGGCCTAGCCGCATGAGTAGCTGGGCAGTGCATCCGTGTGTGTGCGTGGTCACCCCCCCCCCTCATGCCACGATTGCCGCAAGTGTTGTGTGGGCAGTGGCAGCACTGCTAGTACTGCACAGATAGTGGCAGTGCTGCAAGTGGCAAGTGGTCCACAGCGTGATCCTTGCACAGGGGCGGTGGTGCGATCCTCGTGCCGGGGCAGCATCGCTATGGGCCGCAACACAAGCCTCGCATTGGGGCGGCAGTGCAAGCGTCACGCCGGGGATGGCATGCTGCAGGCCGTGGCGCGATCCTCGCACTGGTAGTAGCATCGCCGCGAATCTGGAGCAGTGGCACCATAAGCCTCATACAGGCGTTGCCATCGCTGAGAGTCTCGTGCGCATGCTTGCAGCCCCATTTGTGTGGTGCACATGCTCGCAGCCTGCTTGTACATGTGCGTGCATATGTGGCCACATTCACATTCACACATGTGTGCATAAGGCACCTACCCCTCCCTCTTCCATTGGGCCACCAAAACAAAAAGGTTGGGGACCCCTGCTGTATTGGATGGGAGAGTATTCCAGAGCATAAGGACAGTTACTGAAACAAAGCACACTTCCTGGGTCCCATGAGATGGTAAAGTTTAAAAGAGGAACGTGGGGCAGATCCTCCCTGTGGGAGCTGGTTGAGTGGGCAGATATTCTTGGAAGAAGGTTGTCCTCCAT